ATAATTAATATTATTGATATTAAATCCATAATAAACTGAGATTTTCAGCTGGGGCACTAAAGTCCGGGTTTGCCTTACAATGTATATATATCCAATTCGTGTAACTCATGTGCAATTCAGTTGTGAAACTGCCATTCATGAAAGATGCAATAAAATACCATTTATCTATCTATCTATCTAACTAGCAATCCTTACTCATGAGGCCTGAGGCTCATTTCTGTGTCAAGGACAATAGATATAGGCGCACAGACACATTCCGCCTCCACTCGCGATCGGCTTTCACATAGCCCGTAAGGGCTACGGCACAAAAGACGGCCAACACAGCCATATCATGGTATCTACGTGTAACAATTTATTTATAGAATCCTGTTCAATGTTGTGTTAATACTGGCTTTCATGACGACCTACCTTTCTTAGTAATATGACGATATGCTAAAGGCACACTGCTGATCAATGATCCAAGTATTATCCTTTTGAAAATGAATTTCTGAAGCAAACTGATCACTCACATTGAAATTTCACTCTATCAAACACCGAGTCACGGCTACTGATCAAGATGATGTAAGAGGTTACGCAACTCTTTACGACATCGACAGGCTATTCCATTAATGTAGAAGGGGGAGCGAAACATTGCAGGATGATTTGAAGTTTGAAATCATTTAGTTTTAGGCATTTATTTTAGCCTGGTGGTTTTTAAAATAATTATTCAAAGTTATTTTTAATTCAGAGATATAGTATTAAATCTATATGGCAGGAGGAAACTAATATGTAAGATCAATCTTCCCCCTCAAGTACGTTATCAAACTCTTGAACACTGGTTCTCGGGCCTCAATTGACTGAAATCTGATTGGTCGAAAGTAAAATTGTATTTGATCTTCTTTTTTTTCTTCAGAAATGACCAACATATAATCAGTATTCCAAAGGGTAGGCCTTTAAAAAAAGCAGTAATTTTTTTTTAATTGAGCTGATAATATATATAGAACAAAAGGGGCACTTCTCATATTAAAAGAAGCACATTTCATATTTGAATGAGGGCAATTATCAGAAGCAGGGGCGATCCAGCCGGTGGCAAAGGGAGGGGGACCAAAGAGGGGGCCCAAATTGTGAGAAAATTTGGAGAAAAAAAATCGCGCCTCATATGTTTCGTCATATTTCACTATAAAATAAATCTAGGCCTAGCCTATTCGTCTTCTTGTAAAAGCTGTTAAATAACTCGATCACTTACTAACATGTAACTAATTTTCTTTTCTGTGATAATGATTTACAAAGAATTGTTTTACATTGCAATATGTGTATCATGTAAAATATGGGAACAATAAACTGAAACTGGAACTTGTTTCCCACTAGGAAAAAGGAAACAATTTTTTTCTTCATTTTAACTGATTGCAATTGGTACTAAAATTCGTATGGCATAAACTTCTGGTGTCTTGTTTCTCTCTTCCTGGAATCACACACACAAAAAACATGCTCTTATCCAACATTACCAATCAAGCAATATGATTTTACTATACAATACAATACAATAAAGTCATGCTGTTACAAACTGACTGTTGTTTCACAGCGCTTTACATAAAATTATCAAAGAATCTGTTATTGATCATGGTCAAAGAGGAGAGTTTTGAGACATTTTCGATAAACATCCAGCGAAGGTGATAAACGAATAAAACGTGAAAGCTTATTCCAGAGTCGAGGAGCACATGCCCGGAAAGCATTGTCGCCAGCTTTGGTGTATGTTCGAGGAACTTGTTGTAGCAGGTTGCTGTCAATACAAGAGCGAAGACCAGGACGAGCAGATTGGTAGGGTACGATCATTGAAAGAAATGCAAAGAAAATTATGATATGCAATATATCATTCTATATTGGCGTTGCCAGACGATGTACCCTCTTTCAATATAGGCCTATGCATTTTGTATAGTGAATATTTAGGTTATTCAACTCCAGTATACAATCATGTTTAAGCGCATTTCATTCATATTGTTTGTACTGAGTGGTATTTTTATTAATTGTTTCAACAAATATTACATTTTGACTGACACACAAATTTGATGGGATTGTATTATTTCATTTGCAATGCCCTACATTACACTGCCGTTTTGAAGAGTAGATCAAGAAAATAGTTGTGGATATGGTTAGTTGTAGTCGTTGGTTAGGTGAATGAATCTCTTTAATGTTAACATCACTAGTTCTGCGCCCAGTACGCCAGGTATAGCTTGTTATTGTTCTTCATACTATGTTGATAACTATTGTGTTGACTCTAGTTACGTTTAGATAAATATTGTGTCGAATTGAAAGATATTTTTGGTCTTTGTTTGCCGCAAGCGAAGTTGAAACTATACGTTCCGGACAAGGGCATCCGCCTCAGGTTATCACCAGTTGTACGCCCATGCATGCAGTACCTTGGTTCATTTGTTCCCATCCTTTGTCAGAACTGTTTTCGCTGGCTTTAGTTCCTTTTGAATAATTGTTTTTATATTTAAAAACACAATATTTGTTTTATGTATCATTGTTTTTCCAACAGGGCGTACTTAGGCCTACACTCTTCCAAATGGACGAAACAGCCCCCGGGTGGGGCAGTTTGGCCCTTTTGTCGCAATCAACTTTATGAGTCCTCTTTGGGAAACTATGTGCCTGACCCCAGTGAGAATGGGATATTAGCTAGATATTTACCTATGCCTTTCTACATGAAAAAGCAAGTTCGTGCCTATAAAATGACGGCTCTAGAAGAGTGAGATCTAAATTAGGGTGAACACTCCCCGCTTTCCCCAATGTTAAAACCGGTCTATTGGAACCCCACGATATCGGCAAGTTTACCCAGCGTATAAACTATCGGAACAAAGATTAATACTGAATGTTTCATTAAAACTGTTCATCTTTGGAACAAAACTTCTTGTTTCATGAACCAATCTTGAATTTCAGTAGAAAAGACCATTAACTAGTTCTCAGTGCAGAGGCGTATCAGAAATTAAATCGGCAGTTAGAATTGTATTTACCCTTTAAAGACCTTTAAAGATCACTACTACTGGGCCAGAAGGGATTAGACCACACAGCAAGGTCACTGACAAATGGCTATCTCATTAACTCAGCTCTCAACTAACATAAGAAAAAGAGAATCTTTGGGGACCAACAGGCACCGATTGTGGAAGTTTTCTATATAGAGGGAGCAAGTAGCTACAGGTAGGACAGTGGGGTTTTAATGGGTAACGCCACACAGAATATCGGAAGTGTGTTTGTGCAGTTTAACATAGTGTAATAAAAATTATTAAAAAATCCTAATACAACGGAAGGCAATATAAATACCATATGTGAAACTTCGCACTTTACTCACATACCCCACCCCCCTCCCGCCCTTGGCTCATGATAGAAAATGGGAGGGTGGTGATTGTAAAGATGTTCTCATCCATTAAATACCAACCCATTCAGCCTGCCTCGCGGATGTAATAATAAATGAAACCCAATCTTTTCATGAAGCATTCGAAAGCTGTAAAATAGCCCAATTCTAATTCAATTCTTCATATCACACAGATGAAAGCATCATACAGTATAGTAACATTGACTATGGAAACTGCTCTGTAGGCCTATAATCAACATGCTCATGTTCATAATGAACCGCTGATGAATAGACCATTGTGCCTTTCATTTACACATCATGCATATCGTATAGACCTATATTTATCTTCACCATGACTATATGATCTACACTATTTATCATCTCCATGGTAATCTCAATGGGGGGTAAATCGACTGATCGTATACGTAGTATCTCATAATGATTGGATGCGAGAGACTATTCCCTGGTCAACAGGGAATAATAATAATAACCTTGGCCTCTACAAATGATGCTTTGCATGGTGAAACCATGGCACGAGATCAAAACACCAAACAAACAGCGTGGTGGCACAGCGACCAATCCAGTCGTATTTGAGCAACACATTTCATCTTGACCTAATTCAGTTCATTTATCGATGTTTCATTTATTACATCTGCTATCGGGTGTGTTTACATTGCACATCGTTTCACTATTATGAAGGCACGTATTAGTAATGATAATATATTCTATCAAAATGTATTCATATACATGTATCTTATCATCGTTTATTTTTGTTTACTCCTCTACTTCTTCTTCTTCTTCTTCCCCTTCTCTCTCTCTCTCTCTCTCTCTCTCTATCTCGCTCCCTCTATCTCTCTCTCTCTTTCTTTCTCCATCTGTCTCCCTCTCTCTTACCAGCTCCTACTCCTTCTGTCCCCTTTACTCAACGCACGCATACATTTTGGTATTTCCATGATTTCCATGATTTCTGCTCTTCCTGCGGGCCCTGCTATAACTATCTCCCAGCAATTACCAGATGCTAATGTTTTCGCTCCTTCATATTATTATAATACTGTGATATATGCAGTCCTGGATATATGTATCCATTTTGTATTAAAACAGTTTGTTATTTTGCCTTGTAACTCCATGTAATTCAGATTCAGCCCCTGGTGATGCCATGTGGAATTATTTTAATAAAATACAATTCAATGAGGAGTGATGCTTTCACACACTTTATATCAAACTAAACAGTGTGTAAAAATCTTGAGATGAAACAACCCATATAATTATAGTCAGACTAGTAATGCATACACATTCCACATAGGCCAAATATCAGATTGGTTTCCAAGAATTAAGAGGAAGAAATAGCGGAGAGCTAGGGGAGTTTGGTCACAACAAATTCACATGTTTGGGATGGATATCGTCGATTGCTTAAGGCGAGAGGGGTCTCTGTTTATTGATTTACCTGTATGGACATGTTGGAAGATGTAGCTTGATTTCTCATTTCTCATTTTTCATGTCCATGTCAAGATAATCCTTGCAGTTTGTATTAATGCAAACAAGATCATCGATCACCGCATGATATCGATAATAGTATTCACTGACAACGCCCATCCCGTCCCGAAAAACGCCGTCAACCTCTTCGACCAATCAAATCATAGCATTCATTTTTTGATCTGTACTCTGGTGCGTTATGGAAACAATATAGATTCTTTATTTTTTACGTGCCAATACTATAGCAACACCCTTGCATTGAGCTGTAGTTAACATAGAGACTGTATCACACTGAAACTTATCTCTATCCGTCCCTTGAGCTTCGAGACCCTCACACGTCTATCGTCTGGATACCGGTACTTTCTATCATCATCATCATCATCAATCTTAAGGAACTTTGAATCATCATGGGCGAATGGAAGCATGGTACATTTGGTTGCTTTGATAATTTCGGGATCTGCATCATCACGTATTTAGTGCCCTGTTACACGGCTGGTAAGAATGCAGAGGCGAATGGTGAAAGCTGTATTCTCTATGGATGTCTGTCCATGTTGGGATGTATTGGACTCTGGTCAATGACCAGCATCAGAGGAAAGACTAGGGCCGCCAAAGGAATTGACGTAAGTTTTCATTTAAAGAATCGGCACAAAATAATAATAATAATAATAATAATGGTTCTTGTATAGCGCTCATGTCAATCAGATTTGAACTTCCTGGCGCTCCCGATTATTACCCTGGCTTTAGCACGGCTGCCATACGGCGCTCTAGCATTTCAAGGAATAAATTCCTACCAGGTACCCATTTACTTCACCTGGGTGGAGTGTGGAAAATGTAGATCAATGTCTTGCCAAAGGACATTAGTTTCATTAAACCCACTCTTCCTCTCGCACTTCCACTCCTTCATTTACTTGTACCACATCAGCGGCTTTCTGCTCATATATTCAATAAACCAAGAATTATAATAATAAGCATGATTGAATTCGCAGTAAACAAGCTATATAATATAAGTCACTTTATATGGATTGTGATTTTAATCTCGATGATGAGGCTTATGATTTGTTATGGCAGTGATGATGATGGCGGTGATGGTGGTGATAATGATAATTATAATTTTCTTTGAGGGGGGGGGGGGGTGGGGGTCATCATTCAAGCGAGCAAAGCCCCCGAAATTTGAATGTTGGAGGGGGACGTACTATCTTCTAAATCCTCATCCTTCTTTTCTCCACTCCCTACTCTTTTACTTTCTTTCTTTCTTGCTTTATTTCATTCCCTTTTCTCGCTTTATCTTTTTTTCCCTGTTAAAAAAAAAAATGCATTTCAATAGGGCCACCATTAGCTGCGCCACGTGCGGGTATGTGTGTGCGTGTGTGTGATAGAGAGAGAAAGAGAGAGAGAGAGAGAGAGACTGTTTACCAGAGGAATTTAAATTGGGCTGCACCCTAATCCATTCACTTACAATGGCGTTGTACATTTTTCCATGTCAATTAATTTCGATTTTTTTTTTTCTTCTTTTTTTTCTTCTACTTTTCTAGGTTTCACACGCGCATTTTTCCTCCTGCAATTGATTAGACATATTTTGACAATACCCAAAACATTAAAAGAAGATACACTGAATGTTATCTTTATGATTTCATAGCATCACATTTTGACTTAATACATAATTCAACCATGGTAATTCAAGCTTTATGAAAAATGTATGTACCTAATGTAAAATTGTACATTCGAATGCAATTAATTATGGTTGTTCATATTATGAAATTACTAACATTTCCCGCGTTGTTCATCAAAGCTAAATGTTGTGTCACTTAAACAGGGGTTGACATTTTTCTGTCGTTGATTGTGTCACTTTTCCCAAGTCGTGTTATAGAAAACACTCAGATGATTTACAAAACAAACATGTTTTTTTGTCAGACAGTAAATATTCAATGATCGTTTTTGATCAGAAATTGTCGCAGATCATTTTTCTCACGTGAATTAAAACACATATATTATATGCGCAATTTAATGACTTTCATATTTTAGCCAATACAATGCAAAATAGCGTATTTAATGACCTTTTAGCACTTTTAATATCGTATGGCATAAAATAGTAATTTCTGTATTTAATTTAATGGATCTATTTCATTAAAATATGACTCAGTGAAATAAAAAATATAATTTTTTTCATGGTTGCGATTAAACACACTTTTAAAATAAATAAAATTTAGCCCTGAAAATAAATTATTTTAATGTATTACCCTGTAAAATGTTAACACCTGAGGCGATGGTCTAATGCAATTCATAGGAGCAAATCTTATTAATATACCATCTTCGGAGATTTGAACCATCGAGACCGACGAACATTCACCACTTTTTTTTTTTTAAATAATTATTTTCTCTCAAATCAAATACTTATTGTACAAATCATTCTTAACAAAACTGGATACATTGTACTTTGATATTTTGGATTAAACATAAATTGCAGTAATAAAAATAAAACGAAAGTACATTTCCATAAACTGTTTAGAATTGTTTTTCATATATGATCAAGAATATTAAAGTAAACTTGAGAGAATTTGTCTATTCCCCCATTCCCTCCCCCGTTACACATACTCTCAACATCCTCATCCACTCAGGCACGTAGCCACGGGGGGGGGGGGGGGGGGGGGGGGTCACGTGCCCCCCCCCAAAAATTCCAAGATCGGTTGAACTTTTTTAGACCCCTTTTTTTTACCTCGATCGATTACATGTATGTGCCCCCTCCCCCCCCCCAAAAAAAAAACAACATCAAACTCTGGCTACGTGCCTGCATCCACTTCCACACACTACTGCCCCCCTACCATGCGACATACGACATACACACACCAACCGACCACACTTCCACACGTATACCACACACTGTTCCTAGCCTCCTCAGAATACCCACAATTGGAGCGACAGAATAATAGAAATAATCTATTTTTTTTTTAAATCGAGTAAATTATTAAAACGAGGCTACATTTACCCAGTGTTAAAAGTTCATGCAAACTTCACTTGTTCCCACTTTTGTAAATGTAAGGCTAGTGACACACATATATCACATCCTCACACTCACCCACACACACACACACACACACGCATACATACCCTCTTTCTTCAAACCTAAATGATTTAATACACGCAATAAAAGTTTCATATTCGTATAACATGACGCACAAGCGATATTTACTTTAGTAGCCCTTCTGTGTCGCGTTATTTGATCGTGTACATAACCGAAAATGTTTGAATAAAAGACATGCCATATCTGTTTGAGCTATCTTTATAATAAATCGGTAAGTATTTACACGTCAATTGTATCCTAGCAATAGGACCACTCTCTTAACAATGTGATTCGTCAATCGAATCAAATACAATAGATGACGACGAAGCAGCCGTGACACAGAAAACGAACCTCATATTTTTGTATTGGTTCTCCATTTTGTTCTGGCCTCAAGCAACATATTTACCAAAGATGGTGATTTTTTCCCCGCACGTTTGAATCCCAGTGTGTGTTAATAAATGATAAAGAGATTTTAAAAATTTCAAGCACAAAGGCGTGCTCAGAAGTTAACAAACAGGTGTAAAATTAGAATATGATGTTGATTAACCACTTCGCAATTTCCTTTAGTGCATTTTCCATTTTATTGGCTCATCTATGTGTGCAAGACATATTTTATTGTATTCTGCGCCTTTGTATGTTTTTATGAAAGTGGTAAATAAATTCAATTCAATTCAAATCAAATTAATAAAGCAAGTCTAGCGTGAGGACACCACCACCTGCTTAAGGGGCAGTTTCCCGTAAACATTTCATTATATTAAAGATAGGTTCCTGGTATATCAGGAAAATATATTATTATCTATTCCCCCCCTTCTTCTGATCTTCCAAAATGGGGGGGGGGGGGGGGGCGTTAGGCTGTTTCCCATGCTGTATTCATTTTGTCACTAGTTTGCTGCCGCGCTAATGATAATTATGTGGGTAAATAATTATTGCAAAGCAGCTACATTTGTATGACAACAAAAGAAGGGACCGGAAGAGTGTGAAGTAAAAAAATAATAATTTGGAATTAAGTCATGGATAACGTTTATATTTCAATAGACTATCTATCACTGATACTTTCCTCCGTAATATAAAACATATTAAATAACTTTATGTGAGCACTTTGTTTGACAAAAATGCCTTTAAAATCAAGGTTGGAATAATGATGACTTGATGAAATGCGATGGAGAAAATAACTTGAGTAGGATATAAGTGTTGCATGGGACTTCACCTCATAACTCATGTATTGTGGCATGTACAAGTATTTCTAAGTGGTGCTCTTTTGCAAAGTTATTTAGCATATAAAAACACACCGACTAAACGGAAACTTGAAGCTGAAAATCTTCAAAATCCATTTCCTTCAATTTACTTCCTTGTAGTCATTACAATGATAGAAACAAGGAAACATGATGAAAATATAAAAGCCTTTATCACTTATTCAACACGTTTAAGGGGAGGATCATGTAAAAACATGAACTTGATAATGTGCGATGGATTGACATTAATTTAAAAATTCATAGCTCTTCCATCCCCATTTTGATTTGTTATACATTTTCAGAATAATTGATCAATATTATCATTATTTCCTGTTTCACTATTATCAAAGGTAATATAAGCTAGTAAACTACCCTTCTAACTGCTGATGTTCTATCGAAAAATATTTCCTGTTTCATTCTTATCTAAGGTAATGTAGACTACCCCTTCAAATTACCTATGTTCTATCGAAATTTGCGGAAGTTGGGAAAAGTAATTGTTAAAGGAAGCTATTGTCTTCGTTCCCTGTTATGAACCCAGTGAATTTATAGACCTATTTGACTTTGCTTTAGGGGCTAATAAAAGCCTTTTATGATCGGTTCAGATGATTTTGATATTGGGGTCAATACAGATCCTGACACTCCCACTTCCACCTGATGCAGACTGGTATAGAATTGAGGGAAACAAAGCATGTTATGCTATGCTTGAACATGGATTAGGCGAACCAAGCATTATCTTCCCGAGGAGGAAGATTGGGGGGAGGGGGGGGGGGGGGGCTCGAGTATAGTTCGAAATATCCGACAACCACAAAAGAACTGGCCAGGGGTGCACACTTTATATTAAATCATATCAGATTTTTGGATTAGAAGAAGGGGTGGAGGTGGGGGGGGGGGGGGTACTTGTGCTCTTTTACCCACTGGATCCCGACTGGATTATGGCATCATGTTTTCTTTCTGATTCGGTCATGGTTGTTTGAATGCGAAGTCTGTCTTTGTATAATATTTGAAAATGAACAAGGCTAAATTCCTTCTCATGGAAAGAAAAAAGAGAGTAAAAAAGAAAGAAATTAAGGTTTTACCAGCATCATGCTCTCAAACAGTATGTGTGGGTATGTGTGTGTGTGTGTGTGAGAGAGAGAGAGAGAGAGAGAGAAAGAGAAAGAGAGAGAGAGAGAGAGGAAAGAAGAGGGGATAGAGAGTATAACAAGTAGATAATACACGCTTTACACAACCCATTCAGTGGCTTTGTTCTTTCCTATTTTATTCATCTATTTAAACATGTCAAACCTAAGACAAAAAAGTGTGAAATATTACGAAGCAACTTAATTGTATAACCCAGTTGTGTCATATTCTATTTTCATTTTGTTGTTGTTATTGTTAATGTTTTCGTTATTTTTGTTGTTGACTTTTGTTGTTGTTGTTGGTTGTTGCGTGTACTTCATCGCTTCTTTATAAGGGTGCAGGGGAGGATAAGATTTCTTCCATAAAGGGTGTATGCGGATTGAAGGATGAAGCGTGTGTGTATGTGTATTTGTTTCTGATAAGATGTCTAATATACATGTACAGTCAAACCTGTCTATAGCGACCACCCAAGGTAAACACAAAAAGTGGCCTTTGTAGACAGGTGGTCTTTGTAGACAGATTTCTTTAGCACATGTTTTAATGAGAAACCATTTTCAAGAGAAACAACAAATGTGACCTTTGTAGACAGGTGTTCTTTGTAGACAGGTGGTCACTTAATCAGGTTTGACTGTATTTAAAACAAATTTCAATGAAAAAAGAATAACTAATTACTAATTTCTTTCATTTTTATATTCATCTTTGTACCCAGGGTTCGTGTATCAACGATCTGCTGTGTATCTGGTTCTGCACCTTGTGTGCCTTGGTCCAAGAAAGCCAGGTGAGTACGAGAAATCTCTTTTACTATTAATCCTTTGCTTACGGGAATCTGGTGGTCCCTGTGTTAAGCCTATGGGATCTATAACATTCAGTAGCCAACGGGTTAAAGTCTCCAGAAATAAACCGGAGCAGGAAAGATTTTTGGATTGTATAATATATACACAATATCATTTTAAAAGAAATCATGAGCTCTTGTAATGAAGAGATATAATCATCACAACATCTTTTTACACTGGAAAAATTTATTAAGGTAATTGTGGACAAATCTGTTTGTAAATTTATCTATGAAAATTGAAACAAATCAAAGTATTTATCTTCCTTGGGTTTGCGAAAAAAGAAAATATTTATTTTAAGAAGGTGCATAAATGCAATTAAAAAAAACATTGCAATATCCTTTGGGCACGACTATTTCAATACCACGGAGGATGATATGGGTATTAATACGTATCAAACAGTAATGAAATGAAGGAGAGACACTATGGAGTTTCCAATATCTCTTTGTCAGATTGTTGTTTTCAAACTGTTCATGTCGCTGAACAAACGTGACTCTCTTGCTATTAAAACTCACTTATTTAGGGGCCGGATTCTCCATTGAGGACAGGGGATTTACGTGTATACTGTCTTTTAAAATAATTTTAATTTTATCTCATTGTTCTCCCCCTCCTCTCTCTCTCTATCTCTTTCTCTCCCTTTCTCTTTGTGCATTCTCCCTCTGTTCCCATTCTCCCACCTTCCACCCATCTCTACTACAGGAATGGGACAATGGTGGCCAGGCTATGGCACGTGAATAATCGCTCAGCCTTCTTCTCCTGTTCTAATTAATGTTAACCAACAATATAAGTCACCTTGGTCTTCTCATGAGATCCTAACCATCCATACAGCAATGGACCATCCAACCGAGGACCATGGTCAAACCAGTCAATCCACACTGGCCTTTTAATCATGGGAGTATCAGAAAGCAGTGATGAAACGGAAATGATGCAATCTTCATCTAACTACTATTAATGCAACCACCTGCTTGAAAATATTAAGCATTGCTCGAAAATTCATTAGCTTGTCAACCTATCCTATTCTCTCGTGTAGAAATAAAACGTACACATGAACACCAAACCTTCAAAAAAGATTGCTGAATTATTGTCATGTGGCCTACTGATGTGTAGGCCTACTGACGAACTACTGCAACGAAATAAAGTAATACAACATTTGAGGCTGGTAGGAGTATGTAAGAGGCTTTAGTAAATAATATGCACACTGGGTTATATTTTCTTTTAAAAAAATTACTTAATAATTATGTATCCTGATATACTCGGGTTGAATCAAATTCATTAATCTGTTTTACCTAAAAATAATTGGAAGTGTTATATCGTGCATTTTGATACACCGTATGTTTTTTTGATTACCTTTATGTCCGTCATTGGCATATCCTGTAAATTATCGAGAGCATTAACAAAACTTATTTGTATTACTAATTGAAACTAAATTGGATTTACACACCTAGAGACTATTGTATACTAATTGAATCTAAATTGGATTTACACACCTAAGGACACACTTGGGGAGAACTTGGTACATAATTTAACGATTTTATCGAACTTTTTATGGCAGTAAACTCACCCATGAATGCAACAACTCGTAAATGTACAATCTTGAATGAGAATGCCATCAGAATTATCACAACTTTGGTTCCTTTTAATTATAAGGCTCAGAGATAGTTATTATCAACTTGAATTATAATGAAATATTGTAAACTACACATTAATTGAAATGATCAGAATTGGTGAAAAAGATGAGTGTGTCATTACGATTTTGGAAATACCCAATACCGATAATTTGTATTTCATGGGTGTCTTCGAAAGATGTGAATATCATGTATATTGAGATAAGAAACGTCTTTGTGAAATCAAATGATTCAATAATAAATAATCGTATCAGCTGCATTTAATAGTGTCTTTTTTTAAACGAATGATTATGATGGATGTAACTCACAACATCTGGTAAATACCATCAGGAGAAAATGTTCACTCTGAATCTTGTATATAGTTTTGTATGCATAAATCATTTATCTAAGTACATTGTGTCTTTTTATTACTCTTTTATGATAGGCAAATTTTCTTTGTGAGGCATATCTCTTTGAGCTGCAACATTAGGATCGATTTGTATAAAAGTCTTTCAAGAAATAGTATCTAGTTTTTTCATATTCTTATACTATGTCTCAGTAATTATGAGGGGGAAAATGTATATTTTCACTAGGTTTTTATTCTCCTTGCATACTCTGCCTGCAAGGAAAATTGCTTCTAAAACGTTACAGTTGTAATAATGTATTGTCTGTTGTCACTCTGCTACAATGCTGTTCGCCCTAAATGAATTCGCGCTTTTCATAATCATACAAACTTATTTAATCAGGATTATCGCCGGTCAAACTTCAAAAGTATAATCTATCATAAACTGCATGATTAAGTAGGCTTGTGCGGTGAAGCTCTTTGAGCCCGCCTATCCATCCTGAGAATACGTGATGAAGGATAAAGCATCAAGTTTTGTGATATACTTTTAAAGACTGCGAAATAATAAATAGTTATACAATCACCGTGTACAGTGACATAGTACGCTCCACACAAAAAGTAACGAAATTTCACCATTCCATAGAATGAGAACGTGTAGATTATTTGTAAAAACTTAGTGTTTCTCTTAGGCTCATATTTTTCTATAAATACATTTTTTTTGTATTCCTAAAGTAGTGAAATCGTATTAGTTTTGTTTTTGTATGACACATTGGAGAGATTAAAAGAAATTGTGATTTCTGAAAAAAATGTGTAATTTTGTATTTTTTCCGTTAGTACATATGATTTACTACATTGTATGGTGAGCATAAACTAGAGGGGATGCGAGAGTTAAGAGTCCAAAAGGGTGTCTATAGAGATATACATGAGAAGGCGGATCCAGGATTACTAGAAGATGAGGGGGAGGGTAGTGGGCTGTCATGCGTTTTGTATTCCCATTGCAATTTATATCTACATATATATTCGCGGTCTTCAAGGGAGCGATGGCAAATGTCTGCAAACTCTGACAGTAAACAATCTATACATCGTAATATATTGCGACTTTGTGACCTTTTATTTTAAATGAGGGGCTACCCTTTTCCCCCCATGCGGACCCGCTTATGTTCACATGTACATTGTGGCCTTCATAGTGATATAGTGATAATGAATGAAAGACAAAGAAGTGATGAGCGTGATGAATGATTATGATTATTTATTCTGTTACTTTCAATATAGTTAAAATAATAGTTTCAGTTTTCGGTTTCAATTTATTGTTTTCCATATTTCACATATTGCGAATATTACAATATAAAACAAATCTTTTTAGATAATAATCATACAAGAGGAAATTAGATACATGTTACAAATTATAACTTATTGATGGAGTCATTTATCAGCTTTTACAGGAAGACGAATATGTTTATTTGATGTTGAAATATATGACGAAACCTAATAAATAGCAAAGCTTGTAAAGAATAGGTTCCGTATAAAAAAGTTAAAAGAAAAGGTTATTGCAATACAAAATATCATAGGCCAGAGTTTTAAATTCTATACAAATTATATATAGAAAAATATATAGCCTATAAGAAAGAAAAAAAAGCAATTTATGTAACCAGAAAAAAAGAGACAAAACCTTAATAACATACAGATTCCATAACATATACATGGATGATTTCATTAAAGAGCATTTACATAATCAATTTACTCGAACCTACTATACGCATGCCCGCTCCAAGGGAGCCCCCGGACAGGCAAACTCGCCCGCCCGTGCAAGGCCCGAGCACCTCCCTCCAAACTTCATGCCCAATGCATTGTTGCTACGCCGGGCAAGCTCTAGGCTTGTCATATGCAAATATGAACCCCCCCCCGAAAGAAATAAAAAAAGCCGGACCCTGATGAATGAATCCGCAAGTCCGACGGCTCACCGAAAACAAACATGCATGATACATACAATCACGATCTGTATTGGTGTAAAAAAAAAAAAAAATTGAGATGGCGTTTTAATGAATACAAAGAAGATGATTCTTTAAGGTAGGTATCAAGTTTATTCCAGAATTTAGATCCGGTAAACATCAAAGTATTATTGGAAAAAAACGTTCTTGTAAGAGGTAAATGTAGCATTTCATTTGTCTAGTGGGGGTACGATTGAAGTGTACTAGTGAATATTGACATCAAAGCATCAGGAAGTTCAATTGTTGACGATTGAAACATAATAATACCTACATTGTAATAAAATAGATCGTCAAGTTTGAGAAGGTTACTGTTACAGTCGTATTTAGGGAAGACTTAAGTTTATTCACGTTTTTTGGGGTTAGTTTACGACTGCCAGTTGCAAACTATATTGTTTGAATTACCAGCATTTAGGGTGGGAATATTTGCAAATAAAGTAAAATGATCTGTAATGTCTGGATTTGAGATGACCTGAAATGGGGAAAGTAGGTTCTATAGACAGAGATGATGTCAAAGAGCAAGCAAACAGTACACATTTTGACTAGATTGAACAAGTTCGGAATCCCTCATGAAAACTTTGTAGCTGTGTACGTGCGGCCATCTCTTGATTACGCGGCACCGGTGTGGCACTCTGGACTCACCAAGCAACAGACCAGTGACCTGGGAAAGATACAGAAGAGAGCGATGAAGATTGTTCTTGGCCCTTATTACGAGTCCTACGAAAATGCTCTCAAGAAAACCACGTTGGAAACTTTAGAAGAAAGAAGACATAACCTTAGTACAAAATTTGCCGTCGCATGTGTGCAGTCGCAAAAATTGTTCCCAGTCAATTGTACAACTCATACCATGAATCTCCGTACAAGTAGAAAGTACACAGTTCATCTCAGGACCAAACGGTACCAGAACAGCCCCATAACATTCTTGACTTCTTGCATTAATAAATAAAATCATTTCGTTGTGTGAGAGAGTGACTTTGACTTCGGACTTTACGTCAAAGTGTTCAAGTAGTTTAAATTTTAAGTTATTGGATATATACATGGCTACCCCACCTCTCCTTTTATTGGTTCTATTATTAACCAGCATATCATAAACTTTCAAGGAAAATATTGGAGCAAGTGAATCTTGAAGCCAAGTCTCGCTCAAGCCGATGATAGAACAGTCGGATTTTAGTCTGTTTATTAATAATTCTAATTGGTCCAAGTTTTTCTGCAAGCTTCTGATATTGTAGTGTAATAAAGGCAGGTTATTATGACAAGCTGAAGTTTTATCTAAAAACTGACTCTCAGTCAAATAACTTACTTAGATTTAATTCACAATCCTTGTTCATTGTAATGGAATTATCTAAAATAAATTAAGTTCCTAAGTTTTTATGTTTAGAGTATTGTTTTTCATACATAATGTATACAATAGAGAGATTGTATCATAATTATGCTCAGAGAATGGCAAGCAGTGAATGGAAAACAAGTACATTAAATATTTGATTAAACTTTCCACATTAATTTCTCCTTGCTCTACAGTGTGATAATGTGATATTTTAGAGCATAACTGATATAAATCATAACTTGGGATGACTGACAATTTGAGCAGTAGATTCTGTAAATATATAGTGGAAATGTGAATAAACCCCGAATCAGGGGGCTGCCATATGAAGGTCGACCTAAAATCAATGTTAAATCTGATGTTCTTAATCATCCTAGTGCATTCAGGATCATTATGGGACCAGATTAGTAGAATAAAATGATTATTAATGAAGAATAACATGAGCGTGTTATTAATTCTAAAAAAAAAATAATTAAAATGATTAATAGTGTCTTTCGTATATTCAAAATTTGCACCGGGATAATGGTCATATTTTATTATACATGGCTTGAAAGGAGTCGATCTATTATGGTGATGAACTAAGGATAAAATTCAATAATGTCATTGTCAGTGCAAAGGCGACCAACAATACAATATCACCGTTAAGAATAGGAAATATATGAAGCATGCCCAGCCCGGGCATCCTTGGTATTGTTTGTATTGGCAACGGCTGTAGCCACCATAGTAACCGTAACTAGGTGACGCGTTCCGATTCATCGATGAATGAGATGAGAGAAAAATATTTACCTTTTATGATTTGATATCAACAAAGATCCTTTCTCTTTCTCTCTCCCTCTCTCTTTCTGTCTGGCCTTCTCTCTTTCTCTCTCCCTCTCTCTTTCTGTCTGGCCTTCTCTCTTTCTCTCTCCCTCTCTCTTTCTGTCTGGCCTTCTCTCTTTCTCTCTCCCTCTCTCTTTCTGTCTGGCCTTCTCTCTTTCTCTCTCCCTCTCTCTTTCTGTCTGGCCTTCTCTCTTTCTCTCTCCCTCTCTCTTTCTGTCTGGCCTTCTCTCTTTCTCTCTCCCTCTCTCTTTCTGTCTGGCCTTCTCTCTTTCTCTCTCCCTCTCTCTTTCTGTCTGGCCTTCTCTCTTTCTCTCTCCCTCTCTCTTTCTGTCTGGCCTTCTCTCTTTCTCTATCTTTCTATCTGGCCTTCTCTCTCCCTCTCTCTTTCTGTCTGGCCTTCTCTCTTTCTCTATCTTTCTATTTACAAAGCATATGTAGTCTCTCTCTCTCTCTCTTTCTGTCTGGCCTTCTCTCTTTCTCTATCTTTCTATTTACAAAGCATATGTAGTCTCTCTCTCTCCCTCTCTCTTTCTGTCTGGCCTTCTCTCTTTCTCTATCTTTCTATCTACAAAGCATATGTAGTCTCTCTCCCTCTCTCTTTCTGTCTGGCCTTCTCTCTTTCTCTATCTTTCTATCTACAAAGCATATGTAGTCTCTCTCTCTCTCTCTTTCTGTCTGGCCTTCTCTCTTTCTCTCTCCCTCTCTCTTTCTGTCTGGCCTTCTCTCTTTCTCTATCTTTCTATTTACAAAGCATATGTAGTCTCTCTCTCTCTCTCTTTCTGTCTGGCCTTCTCTCTTTCTCTATCTTTCTATTTACAAAGCATATGTAGTCTCTCTCTCTCTCTCCCTCTCTCTTTCTGTCTGGCCTTCTCTCTTTCTCTATCTTTCTATTTACAAAGCATATGTAGTCTCTCTCTCTCTCTTTCTGTCTGGCCTTCTCTCTTTCTCTATCTTTCTATCTACAAAGCATATGTAGTCTCTCTCTCTCTCTCTCTCTTTCTGTCTGGCCTTCTCTCTTTCTCTATCTTTCTATCTACAAAGCATATGTAGTCTCTCTCTCTCCCTCTCTCTTTCTGTCTGGCCTTCTCTCTTTCTCTATCTTTCTATTTACAAAGCATATGTAGTCTCTCTCTCTCTCTTTCTGTCTGGCCTTCTCTCTTTCTCTATCTTTCTATCTACAAAGCATATGTAGTCTCTCTCTCTTTCTCTCTCCCTCTCTCTTTCTGTCTGGCCTTCTCTCTTTCTCTATCTTTCTATTTACAAAGCATATGTAGTCTCTCTCTCTCTCTTTCTGTCTGGCCTTCTCTCTTTCTCTATCTTTCTATCTACAAAGCATATGTAGTCTCTCTCTCTCTCTCTCTCTTTCTGTCTGGCCTTCTCTCTTTCTCTATCTTTCTATCTACAAAGCATATGTAGTCTCTCTCTCTCTCTTTCTCTTTCTGTCTGGCCTTCTCTCTTTCTCTATCTTTCTATCTACAAAGCATATGTAGTCTCTCTCTCTCCTCTCTCTTTCTGTCTGGCCTTCTCTCTTTCTCTATCTTTCTATTTACAAAGCATATGTAGTCTCTCTCCCTCCCTCTCTCTTTCTGTCTGGCCTTCTCTCTTTCTCTATCTTTCTATCTACAAAGCATATGTAGTCTCTCTCTCTCTCTTTCTGTCTGGCCTTCTCTCTTTCTCTATCT